TAGTAAGATGTTAAGGCTGGCCTTGAACTAGAGATCCTTCTGCCTTAGCCTCCCAAATTGCTGGGATTACTGGTATGTGCCTCTGTACCTAGTGTCTTATAGATTTTCTAACCAGATTTTTATTCTTTTATTTTTTCATTCATCTTAAAATAAGCAAATTGATTTTATTAATTAAGTAAATAAAATTGATTAACTTTAAATAAATTCACCAGGAATAAGATGGTGTTTGATGGGGTCCACTTTTTTCTCCATTTGTATTGCCAGTAGTGCCAGAATTAATGATTCGTCCTTTTCTCACTGATTTTTAAAACACTATCTTTGTCGTATTTTCACATACACTGTGATCTAATCCCAGGTTCACTATTCCTCTGACCTATTTCTTGTTGATTTACTTAAATTGGTGTTAAAGTATGTTCTGATTTTTGTTAACATAAAATTCTATTAACTTTGTTTTTCACACTTTCCTTGGCTATTCTGAGACATCTGTCTTTCATTTTAGTTAAAGCTTATAGTTTTTTTTTTCTTTTTAAAAGATCTGACAATGTGTGTCTTCCCTGATACCTCACACATTAAAGAAGTCATTTCTTTTCTGAGTAAGTATCTTCAAATAACAGCCAATGTGATGCTTAATTTTAAAAAATCCAAGCCTTCCAATTAAAGAACACTGACTTCACCATTATTACAGTTTTAGGAAGTTAGTCACTGCAACTAGACAGAAGGTTTCATACATTTCTTTATTGTACAAATATTGAGCCTCTACTATGTCTAGGTACATTCTAGTGAAGAGAGACAGATAATAAATGAACAAGCAAATACATGGTATGCCAGGCTATGTCCATGAATACAATGGAAAGAAGAAAGCTCGGAGGGTGTGTCATTTTTTTTCCTACTTATCGATTCTTGGTTTTATTTATTTATTTATTTTTTTATTATTAGTTGTTCAAAACATTACAAAGCTCTTGACATATCATATTTCATACATTTGATTCAAGCAGATTATGAACTCCCATTTTTACCCTGTATACATATTGCAGATTTACATCAGTTTCACATCCATGTTTTTACATACTGCCATACTAGTGTCTGTTGTATTCTGCTGCCCTTCCTATCCTCTACTATCCCCCCTCCCCTCCCCTCCCCTCTCCTCCCATCTTCTCTCTCTACCCCATCTACTGTAATT